TTCTGATCACTTTTAGAATAATTCCACAATCTAGATTCCTGTTACCGACATTTACCGACAGTCACCAAAAACGTAAATTTTGATACTTTTTTCATCCTGGGATTAAATAAAATTATTTCACAAATTCTTAATCTAAACTCAATTATGTTTTCGCCACTATTTGAAAATTTAATATAAAAAGGAAAATATCTTGAAATGTAGATCATTGTGAGATTGCAAGTACCCACACAATGTGTGTGCGTATGTGTTGGGTTAGGTCTAAGATAAGCTAAGCGATAAAGGACTTTCATCGTCATCACGAATATACGATCCAGCAGGGAAGAACGATAGCGTAATCAACGTCAACGAAGAGGATTCTTATCGTCAATTTCATCCCTCAACTTGTTTCGTAACCCGAAGTTCAACAAACACATTCGAGCCTTGAAATTGTCGACGAAAATATCTTATAAAAACATTTTGTGGGATAAAAAGAAAGTATAAAAATCTAATCAATGGATGCCGTTGCAGTTTGGCTTCCTTTTTTTTCATTGTATTTTTCCATTCCCCTAGAATTAAATTATTTACTGATTAAAAAGAAGGTGTAAAGTGTTTAAAAAAATATTTTTACACTTTTCGACATTATAACTTTTACATTGTGGAATCAAGAACTATAATGCAAACTACTTTTCCAAAACATATTAAAAATTAGTATTATAATTTCAAAACAACTTCCCTGTTGGGAAACATTTTCCAAAATTGACCTATTTAAATTCTCTAAATAAATGATTAAACAGAGAGAAAGTTGAAAATTAACAACAACTCTATTTGTACAATTGCATTATTTACCAGCTTTTTGGGGTTTATAAATGAATTTCCAATTCGATAAGGGGTAAAAAGTTATCAACGTAATTAAGAACTCAACAAACAAATAAAAACATTTAGGATCATTTATAACCAGACAAAATTCTCCATTTATGACAACACTTATTATTTTCTTTATTATAACGAGTGTGGTAAATGCAGACATTTTGTATTGTACACGCGACGACGCGTGCTCAAAAACACTTCGCACCTACTTGCGTAAATACAAAACTGAAAGCGTGTAGAATTCGATAAGATCCGTAACGGCCATATTCCAATCATGATAGTAAAGTGAAAACTGATATAATTAATATAATGCGAAGCGAGCTTTCAGTCGGAATTTATTTCCTAATCGTCGTAAGTCCCGCAAAAATATAGGAAAAGGGAAAAATAACTGACTGTTTAAAAATTGATTTCCGTTCAGGTTCACTACATTAATCACCATAGGTCTTGACAGCGTATGATGACTGCGTTCATCAAATGTAAAACGTAACCCCAGAAAAAAATACATAAACATTAATAATAATTATAATGAAGACATTCTTTATGTACCCCTAACGTTTATGACCCTAACACTACGAAATAATAAATGTGACAAATTCTTATTTTGGGGTTCGATACTAGGGTCCTCCCTAATATCCTAATCTGCCTATTTATTTCTTTTCTTAACATTTCTTTGCAACGAAAAAGTAGTATTTTCGAAAACATAGTAATTACTGTAAGAGAAATGGTTAGGTATGAAAACAAGTTGCTGAAAAGGTTACCCTTTATCAATTATTCAATCAAATCAGATTGAAGGTTCCGATCGAGGAACGTGTTATAATATTTACTGATATTGCAGGCTATCTACTCAAATACGAGAAAATATTTTCAACAACTGTGGGTAGGGATCGATTCCAAACTACTTGAGTATTTTATGAGTTTTTCCAATGTGAAGAGTGTTTGAAGATGTTTCATTTGAAGACTTAAGTTGTTGATTCTGAGATTCCAATTCTTAGCGCGGATAGAGAAATCGAACATACCAATTTCGTGTGTGTGTGTGTGTGTGTGTTACGCAATCCACCGCATTGTAAATTCGCTTTGACATATATAACAACATTCGCTTACTATACAAAGGCAGAATCGAAGTCGGGTACCCATGACTATAAGCATCGATAGTAGCTAAAGGTAATGGGACGGGAAACTTAGTTGAAGGAGAGAACCGTTTCGTTGTCAACGGAGTAAACTTGTTCCTTGTGTTAGAAACGTTCTACATACAGTGGATTCCTCTTACCTTCCTCTCTCTCTCTCTCTCTCTCCCACTCTCGGTCTTCCTCCCTTGTGTTGATAGATGGTAATTTTGGCAAACATTATGTTACTAGAGCGTAGACGATTCCTTTGGAAATTACCAATCTAAGGTAACTATTTTCAGGGAACATCCTATCTATTTCAAATAGAAGGAGATTATAAAATAGTGGGGTGTTTATTTTAATAGTGGGTTAAACCTTCCACCCAGTGTATATATTGTTACAGAAACAAATTTCTGTTTCAGAACAAAAAAAAATTTTTGTTCCAAAAATGATGCACTAACCTACATGAGACGAATTCCAACACGTGTGACATTCGTGAATCATCTTGCATTATAAATAAGTCAAATTTTGGTAGAAGTTTCAAAGATCTGATATTGAAACCTTATATTTAATTTCGAAGTATCGAAATTGGATTTTTTACTTGTCATTAAGGTGGCAGCTAGGTGGCAGCGGTGGGATTGTTCGATTATACGAAATTTCGTCATTCCAATGTTGCTTCCAATGATGAAAAACGTATCAAACTATAGAATAGTGACTAGCAGACCCTATTCCAGTGGCAGCAGAAGGATTTTGTTTGGAATTTTTCAGATATTATTCAGGTGGCAGCGGTGGGATTTTTGTAGTTCGCTTTTCAACTGCCAAAACCCATTGTATGCCCTATTATAATTATAAAACCCTTTCATTCTTAGAATAATTAATGACGAAGATTTATAAAAGGGACGTAACATTAATTTTCATAAGAAAACTGTCATTTTTACATTTAACAAACTATAGATACTTTTTGTAATTTATCACTAAGACGAAGCCGAGGACAAAGTCTTTATAAAGCACTATAGACATCCATTTTTCTAAATTAAACATTTTTTTTTTATTTTGCAAAATGAGTTTAATTATTTATTAAAACTTTTTTTCATTATTCAGAAATGTGACACTTTGAAGAGAGTTAAAAAAGTGTTGATAAGTATATTATCGAAGGAAAGGTGGCTAACGAGGGAGCAGATAGTTACTTAAGTGTTAGCACTTCTTCTTTAACTTATAAACCGCAAGTCCTCGTTGCACTCCAGTAAGATGAGGTTGAAATAAAAGGGAACGAAGTTTAAAGACAGTTAAAGGGAAGATAAAGAAAGGGACGCGGGATAAATTGCCTGGAATAATCGGATACTATCCGTCATCGTCAAAAATGACCTGACCCTACGCTTTAGCATAGCATGTGCATAGCAGCATTTCTATTGGTGTGAAAACTTCTTATCTTTTCTGTTGAGAAAAAAAAAATACTGCACTATATACCGATAACAGTTTATTCCCTTAAAGTGACGAGAAACTATCTAAAGCAGAGTATTTTTTTGACTTTTTTAAAACGATGATAAAATTTCTCTTCAAAAATTTCGTTTCGTTAAATTTAAGTTTGAGGTCATCAAAAAATTATGTCTTTAACAGTTTCTCTACTGCTTGAAAAGTTAATTTTCCATTGAAGCCAGGTCGTTGAAATTTAGAAATAGATCAATCGATGCCTTATTTTAAGTCGACTATAATCTAATAACGATACCTTAAAATTTTAATGATAAATAAAAATCTATCTCTTAAAAAGGAAACGTTCCTATAAGTTTTTGATTTTTTTACAGCCAATAACTTTATTAATCTCAGGTTGTAAAAGGATTCTAAACAGGTTAGTGGATAAACTTCTAGAAATTTAATGGAAAATTATTAAACAAAATAATAGAATTTTGGAATCTGTTATCAAAAATTCAAAATGGCGGATAAACATGGCGGACAGCTTTATAAAAATTTGTTGTCAGTTTTCAAAAATTCAAAATGGCGGATGTTAAAATTAAAAAATAAAAATCTCCGATTGCAGCGTGAAGTGTTGGTGATGAATTTTCATAAATTATCATATTTTCAGTTAATTTATTAACTTTTTAAACTATTTTATGTTTTCGGACGTGACAACACAAAGTGAATTACACAAACATTTAAAAAAAAAGAGACAAAAAACCTTAAAATCAAGTAAAAAAAAGATTGTATTGTTAAAAGTCACATATTGTGGATTGACATAAAATTTAACAGCATCACCTGCAAATAATATCGATATATACTTTTTTTATTTTTATAAAGATCATAAAAATATCGAATTTCTATTTGTGACCAGATATTGCATCAACTTTTTTTTTATGGCCTTTCTTTCACGTTTGGCTTTAAATTCAATAGCAGGCAGTGACATAAATTTTATTTTTCCTTCTACAATTATCATTTATCATAGAAAGTATATATTCATAAGAATTTAAAAAATTTTAATTTTAATTATCGAATTAATTATCCTAAAAATAAAAAAAAGGTTATATTATTCATTGTTCTAAATCTAAATTCATACTAAATCTAAATTCTAAAGATGAAATTTAAATATTTTCCTTATAAAACAAGAAAAAAATATTAAAATTTGAAATAAAAAAAAGTGTGTTCTATTTCCATTTAGTTAAAAATATAAGTATTATAAATACATCGACAATGATTTACATTTTATTTACTTAAAGATTACAATAGAATGTGTGTATATGAAGACATGATTTCGAATTTATCGATCAAATCAACCTATCTTTGAAAGCAGCACGTATGTATTGAAATTTTATTCTCTAATAAAAAGAAACTATTTAGAAAAATTTTATTTTTATAATAAAAAGAAACTATTTAAAAATTTTTATTTTTATAATAAAATGCAGACCTATTAAATAAGTAGCTTATAATTTTTATCTCTTTGAAAAGTAAAATATTTTTTCAAGATAAACAATAAGTTTTTCGAAGAATTTTATTTACTTTATCTAGCAGACCTAGACATAGAATATTTTTAGTGTCAATAAAAAATAATCAATTCTCTCAAAAGTAGTAACGAAAAGTTGTAAGTTAAAAAAAAACTTTTCAGTAATAAGGTCTTGAAGTAAATGAAAAAGTGAACAAAAAATCATGCATTGGAATTTAAAAAGGTTGTTATTTATATACAGACAATTAAGAATTGATTACCATAATCAATTTTTTTTTTAAATTTATTTTTTCCTTTTTTTCTATTTATTAGAAATTAAAATGAATAATTTATTGTGTTGATTAAAAAAGCATTGAGAAATAAGAACTAATAATTTTTCATTAGTCCATGAAAATTGTCATTAATTAACAAATGGGTGTAAAGTACTTTTACTGCGAGGAAAAATATTCTTTGTCTGCAAAAATGTTTTCTTGCACATTATCGATACACGATTTTATACAACATAAAAGATTTTATTAATTTACATTTTTTTTTAAAAAATTAAAATTTAAAAAAATTTTAAGAAACTTAAATATTTAAAAAATTTTAGTGGAGATAAAAATAAAAATGCAAAAATTTGTGAATTGCTCTGGTGTAGTGTAAAAATTGGATTGTGTCAAATTATAGTAGATGGTGACAGGAAGAAAATAAGATTTTATATTTTTATTAGTGTAAAGAATATTTAAAAATAAATAAATTTCAAAAATTGATCCAGGGTATTGTGTATTTTTCATAGTTACTAAATTATTCTTATTTAATTACGTTTAGAATGAAGTATCTGCTTTTGAAAGTTCTCCTAATAATTGCCGTATCAACAAAGTAAGTATTTTTTTATAATCCTATTTATTTGACTGGTCAAAAAAAAATTAAAAATATATAAATATTTTACTTATTAAAAATATATAATAGAAATTTTAATTTTAATAAAAAAATTTAATAGAAATGAAATACAAAAAATTCTTTTTTTTTCAAATTCAAAAATTGAAGACAAGGTCTGCTAAATGAAAAAGAAATTTCGAAGAGAAGAAAAATAATCATTGACACTGACGCTGGGGCTGACGACGCTGTAGGTATTCTCCTAGCACTAAAATGCGAATCAGCAGAAAAGGAAATTAAAATTCTTGCTATAACTTGTACTTACGGTAATACAAATATAACAAATGTTGAAATGAACGTTCAAAAAATTCTCACTATTGCTGGAAGAGAAGACGTAAGTAGAAAAATTCAAAAAAAAATTTCATTTCCATACAGTTTTACTGAATAAACTTTTTATTCATTCCTTCAAATAGATTCCCATCTATACGGGTGCTTATAGACCATTAATTAAATTTTGGGAATCCACCAACTATTTTGGACAGGATGGATTAAGTGATTTTGAATTTAATCAGACAATCATAGCTGAAATTGATAAATCGAAGCACGCGTCAGATGCGATGATACATTATGTTAAAAAATATCCAGGTGAACTGTTGTTTTTATCAAAGTTTTTTTTTTTTTTGTAAAATATTTATTTGTTGTGAATATTTTTCTTCAGGAGAAGTTACAATCATTGTCCTCGGACCTACAACAAATATAGCAATGGCCATAAATCTTGATTCGGAATTTGTAGAAAATATTGGACAATTAGTTGTTATGGGATCAACTGTCACTGGCTCAGGAAGTGTATCACCTGGTGTTGATTTTAATTTCGGTTGTGATCCAGAGAGTAATTCAATATTAATGAATTCCACCCAGAAACCAATTATTCTTGTGCCAAGAGAAGTATCATTAAGCAGTCCAATGTATTTGGTAAACATTTTATTTTTAATCAATTTTCTTCTCTATGAAACTAAAAAATTTTAAAAAAACCAAAAATGTATTTCAATATTTTTTTAATTTTTTCAAATTTTCAATATTTTCTATAACCTTTTTCTTGTAGGAATGGAGGAAAAACACTTTGGGAATTATAGACTCCTCGGCTGTGAGGTTTTTAAATAAGGCAGAAAATATTTTTAGCGAAACAACAAGTATTTACTGGTCGTCAGCTGATTCGAGAACTATTGCTATCACTCTGTGGGGTATGGGTTTACTAAAAACGAATTATTCGAAATTTCAAGTCATACCAGTTCGGGAGGGTGAAGCTAGGGGTTCGGTTCTTGTCGACAAAATCACAAAGGAAGGGAAATCTTTTAATGCTCTAGCTGCATTGTCAATGGATGTTGACGAATTTAAGAGAATATTGATTCATTATTTAAGTATAGAATAGAATTAATATTTTAAAAATAATTTTAATATTTTAATTTTTAATATTTTATATTTGTATATTTACGTATTTATAATAAATTATGTACTTAATTTTCAAATAAAGAAAAGAATTTTTGACTCTTATTCCTATACTGAACCACTTTTGTCAAAATGAAGACATTAAATCCAAAAAACAGAATAATAACCAAACACCATATTACAATGTACAGCTTTTACAATTATCATATTTTAATTTGAATACCATTTGTTTTTTTTTTAAAAAAAGAGAAAAACAAAACTAAAGGAAAATATACACTTCAATTTAGGTATGTATATTTTTATGTGCAAATGAATTTTTTACCTTAAAATGTATTTTTCATCAGCAACCAGTGCCTTTTGTGGGCGAATTCTTTCCGCAAACGTGAAACTGCTGAAGGTATGAATTTCGTAACATAACGCTTTATGACCTCACAGCTAAGCTTAATAACTAACATAAGTTATGACAGTCCCTCGACTCATGTGCTCGTTTCAACTCGGAATTGCGAAGAGACGAGCACGTATTTCCACACCTTTTTGAAGCAGGAATACAAAATTTTTGAGTAGAAAAAAAAAGAATAATTATTATACAAAACTGCGAAAATATTTTTTTTTTATTTAAAATTACTTATCAGGAGAAATTTTTTAATTATACCGAAGCAAAAAAAAATTATTCTTTTTTTTACAAAAAAATTGTCTTTTTGAAAATTTTATTTAATACTTATTTTAAATTTTTAATGTGTAGGAATTTAGTGTGGAAAACAGGCAAGCTCTGAAATGAAATTTAATTCGAGTTAATTAGCATATCATTTAATTACTTAGTTTCAGAAATTTAGCTAATTAGTCTTCTTTGTCAAGTTAAAATAAAGTAAAATGTTTGAAACGCTCATATTCTGGTTGATGTATTTTCCAGGGACATATGGTGAAAACTCTTCCTTTCATGTGCTCGCACACAATACACGTAGCATATGAGGAAGTATTCTCTCGTATAATTTTACTATTTTATATATCGCAGTGTAATCTTCCTTCTGATATGCATTTCTTATGGTTGCCTTTACCGCACGTCGCATGAGACATTATACCCACTGTCTGTTCTCTTGTTCATTTTCCAACTGACGCCTTCTCTTTCTCTCACTCTGCTTTTCCCTTTCAGCTTTTTTCCCCTCCTTTCTCTCTTTTTTTTTATTTTTTTCTGCGTTGTTTCATCCACCTTTATCTCTTTTTCTACGACTAGGACCAGCTTTGAATCCTGAGAGGCTAGCGCGAAACAAAAAGTCTGAAAAAGCGACCATAAGGGAAATTTCCTAAGGCCACATAGTAAAATATTTCACATTATTCGCATTTTCACATTTATTAACTACTTTTATAATTAAATGAATTGAATTTTTTTCCTGGATTATAATATTAAACTGTTTTTATACTTTATAACTTTATACATTTTACAATTATTTACAATTGCGATAGAAAACTTTTAAAATATTTAAAAATATTGCCAAACCGGAATTATATGTTTCTATAATTAATGTATTTTTAAAATAGCGTCACTGCAATTTAAAAAACAAAAACCCCGGCTTGATAAAGTAATAATTTAAAAGACAAATGTAAATATTAACATAAAGATAATAAACATATAAAATATCTGAATCGAATTTATTGGTCGTAAAGTCTAAATGATTTTATACAATTGTAAATAACATAACTCGGCCTCTAATCTCAGAGCATACAAAGTTTTATAGTTGTTTGAAGATAAATTTGAATTCCAAATCCAAAGCGATTGCAGATGCTGCAAACAGGTGTAAAATACATCTTCTTAAACGGCTTCAAGGATGGTTATTGGAAATTTTCACGATTCCTATAAAATTGTAATAAAAACTTCTTATATGTAATTCGTATTATTAACCATTTCATATCGATGAAATATTTATCATCCAATTAAAAAATCACTGTTCTCTCTAATATTGAAGCAGTATTTTGGCAGAAATTCCATAATCACATTACTGAATGCATGGTATGATTATATTTTGATGTGTTAATGAGAGGGAATTTCATTGAAACGAAGAAAATAGGGAATAAATCATTTATTACCATAGTTAGTTTAATCCTTTTCGATTATTGTTTCCTAGTTTTCTATTTTGCTTCTTTTTATCTTTTACCTAAAATTTTATACCATTAGGCTGACCACCTTAAAGCAGATGACGAAATTAGTTATTTTGTATCAGTATATTTTTTCTCCGAAAAGTTTGAATATTCTTTGATAATAGAGATTCCGCCAAGGTTAGTAAAACTTTCGACTAAGTTTACCACCTGGTTTCACGCTTGTCCGATTTTTCGTAAACTTTGATTCTCTTTTAGAGAATAAAGTTTTCTAGCTTCTTGAGGCGACAATTCGTTTTCGTTTTACAATCAGTGACAGGAAGAGCAAATTCGCACTCTACACTTGTGAACAGATTGAAATTATTCAATAAATATAGCCTATTGTAACAACCTAAAAATATATTCGTTGGTAGGTTAACTTTTTTTAATTTAGGAGATTAACACATTATACACAACTTTCTGAATTTTCTATTAACGATTTCCCAATTAATTCAGAAGACTATTAGGAAAGCTTCTAATAGTCCGAAGAGAGTGAGGATTTAGGAGATTAACACATTATACACAACTTTTTGAATTACCAGTTATCAAATTAACGATTTCCTAGTTAATTCAGAATGCTATTAGGAAACCTCCTAATAGTCCGCAGAGAGTAAAGGTTTAGGAGATTAGCACATTATACACAACTTTCTGAATTTACAGTTTTCAAATTAATGACCGATCTGTCAGTCAGGTAGGCCGTTGCTATTCTATTGACAGGACTGAAACAAAGAATACTGTTCCTCATCTTAATCCTTTTGAATATTCGAGATTCACATCCAAATATATGCACCAAGAAGTTCTTCCCCTGCTGTGACTTCCCTGAAAGTTCACAATAAATAGAATTAAAAAAAATAGTTATAAAAATATTAAAAATAACATGTGTCATTTAATGTCTGCTCCTAGTAAATTATATTCTATTAACAATAAATAATTATATAAAATGTTAATTTTGTTATGCCACTCACTCTGACCCTAACCCTTTAAAAAAATAAAAAGTGATGAAAGATTAAACACCTCGAGGCGACAGATAGCATACACAAATATAAACACAAAAGTAGTAATGTAACTTAAACACGACAGACAATCGTTTATTGATTAAACTCTACTATTTCGTTTAGTTGCCAGTCTTCATTACCGGATGTCGAGGAGAAGGCGGACTAGGACATTGAAACACGACACAGTCGTCACGTAAACCGCGCTCGTGACTTGAATCGCGAGCTTTTTCTTATTGCTTGGTCCTTATCTCTTACAGTATCGAAATATAGTACAATCCTATGCAAAATCCTTCGTGATTTTGCGAAATTCTAATAAAATAACTTTACGATCATTCTGTTACCAGAATATAAATAAATATTTCTTTTCTAAAAACCAAGTTAAAAGGATTAAATTTTCATACATTTTGAAAATTACAATTTTGAAAAAAGCTTAAAGTCATTAAAAGTTAAACTATTTGGAACACTTCCAATTTCAAATTCGTAAACGACGACTTTAATAAAAGTGGAAAATTATTCAGGGAATATAATCATTTTATAATAATTTTATTATCAAGTTTGTATCGCAAATTAAATTTATTTACAGTTACAGTTAATGTATAATTGATTCTATAATGTGTTTTTGACAATAAGTTTGTTAGAGGCGCTCCTGATTCTGAATAAATAAATAAGATGTCCATGAATAAACGATGTTGTACATTCTACTCTCTAGGAACGAGAAAATACCAATTGATACTGCTTTATTAATAGTAAACATGCAAATATTTCAGAAAGCAGTATTTCCTCCAGAGTAGCTTAAATATTCTAGCAATTACAAATTTTGTTTATTGAATTCTCCTCTAATTTTTTTATAAACGAAGATTTGGGTTATTAAAGTAATGTAAAATTCTAAAATTTATCCGTTTTTTGCTTTATCTGAAGAATATGATATCTATTCCTTCACAAGATTAGCACATCATTTAGTCATTAGCCAGGAAGACGCCAATAGTCTGCCAATAGTCCTAATAGTCTGCAGAGAGTGAGAGTTAAGGAGATTAACACATTATACACACTTTTTGAATTTACATTTATCAAATTAACGATTTTCCAGATAATTCAGAATGCTATGAAGAAAACTAAGGTTCAAAACCCAGGTGAATCAAAAAAAGGTTTTTTAGTCAGTATTAGTGACTCTAGTGAAATGGGAGTTTCCTGGGGATGCGTTAAACTAATTAATAATTAAACCAAAGGAAAGTATTATTTATGTTATGTATTCAACGGAAAGCAGTTACAACAATAGCCTTATGTTTTAAAAATATAATAAAATATTGATATTCACCATTATGGTTGAAAAGGCAGTGGAAAGTGGTTGCTTCGTAAATTATATAACAAGCGGTGTGTAAATTGTTCGGTTATGCGATGTGCAGACCATATTCTGGCATAATGCAACAGCCCACGACGCAGCGCGTTTGATGCGATCATTTATAAACACATCCGAGCGCTATTAATCACGCGTTTCAACGGTTCGACGAACGCACTAATTGAACGATTCGATACGTTCCTCGAACCGTATTGATCCTGACCACATCGATACGACCGGTAATAGGGAATTGCATTTGAATTCGACTCTTATTATATCGACCAGAGCCCTTTCAACGTAGCGGATTAGTCGATCGACAGCGATTTGCATAAATGAATGTTTGCTACTTTCCATTAACACACCTATACCCCCCTTCTCTCACTCTATGTCTCTCCACGGAATTCGCATTTGTGATGTTACTGCTCAACCCCACGCGGGAATGTACGTGACAATGCGATCTTAATCTATACTGTTTTTTTTAATTTATTTTACTGACACTGACAGTAAATTTGATTTAACCCTTATTTAGTTATTTACCTATTCTCAAGATATAGTCGAATT